ACCGATTTTCTTGCTATCATTCAAAAATCAATACTTAGAGATAATTATGCTTTTAATGGCCTTGGAGCTATTCCATTTGCTTTGGCACTGTTTCTTCCCCATCCATCAGACGCTGCTTTAGGGCAGGTTGTTCAGAAAAACCTTGCAGGCCTGGCTTTCTTTGCTGTTTAATTAAGTGCTGTTACTGTGCAAGTTGAGACAAATGTACCAAGCAACGTCTGTGATGACTAAATGAATGTCTAGCCAGCAGGAGTGTGTGTGTGTGTGCATGCCACGTGCTTTCTGAGCTGGGATGTGGGTGTGTGCCTGTATGTGCCTTTGGGCCTGCAAATAAAAATACAGTAGTGGGAAAACCAGAGCAAACGCCATTGAGATTTTAGGTGGCTCAGCACAACAAAACAGCTGTTTGTGCAGCACTTGTGTTCCCAGGCGCTCAGCACCCAGAACTGGAGCCAGCTTCTGGTGTGTTCCTGTTTGTCCGAAGGGTTCAGTCTCAGTAGGATGAAAGCCCAAGAAAATCGGGACATGGAGTGGCTTCACTTTTGAAGTGACCCCTGCCTGGCAGTTGTGCACTGTGTGTTCTTACCCAGCCAGGAGGTTGTGGCTTGCAGTCAGACAGGGCAGGATGAGCTCACTCTTTTTTCTTTTTTGGAGATGTTTATATAGGTGGGTCATCCTTTCCTTCTTCCTCTTCATGTAGGCACTTCACTATTACTTCATTCTCTCATACTTCATTACTAGCATCTTACAATATTGGATGTATTTGAGCCAGCATGCCTCGTAAATAGTTGCCAAAATTGCTTTGCCAGACAGTCCTCTCATTAGAAGTATGGATTTTACTAACCCCAAAGGAGGTTGTTCCAGTTCACTGGCCAAAGTAGCCTATACCTGCAAAAGCACTTTTAAGGCAGTGAAATTGTGTTGCTGTACGGCTTTTGCCAATGCACCAGTTACCTGGAGCCCATCATGCCTCGCAGCTCGCACTCCTCTGTCGGCAGAGGTTCAGTGCAGGTCCTTACAGCATCGCCAGGTTTGGAGAAAGATGAGGGTCCTGCGCTGGGGAGGAAGAGCAGACTGAGAGACTTGCCCAAGGCCATGCACAAAGCCTGTGTCAGAGTGGAGAATGGGATTCAAACTCTTCAACTCCCAGTTTCTTGAATTAATCTTCAGACTGTTACCCCTCCCTTTCATGTGCAGGTTCAATCTCACTGACTTTGTCCTTGTTTTTTCCTCCCATCTTTGTGCATTTTGTTTTAGTTAAAGCATTATTTCTTCTTGTCACTTACATCGCAGTGTGTGTGGGCATAGCAGGAACCTGTTGTTGATTTCTGGCAAATTATGTAAAAGCACTTCTCTTCATTATATGACTAAATTTCACAGCCTATACCCCGTGATTACTTGCTTAAATTGAACTTGCTGATGAAGCTACTGTCTGTTGGACTGAACCAAGTGAATTTCATTATGGAAGTGCTTCTGGTCTTCTAACCACTTTTCAAGTTAGCAAAGTGCTTCCCATTCTGAAGCTCATGTCTAATTAATATGTTTTTATGCATTTGTAAATACACCCCTGTGGCATAGCTCGCCGTTTGCTGTCCACAGGAGAGCTCATTCTTAGTGATCAATGTGACTCAGTAAAGACCTTTGCCTCGGTGTTTTAGAATAGGATATAACGATGTGCCTTAATCAGTGTTGCTTATTGTCTGGTTTCAAAAGTAATTCAGCTCACTTCTGAGGGTCTGTTATAAAGATGACTGAAGCCAGGAGATCCCGGTTACATCAGTGAATTCAGGGTGAGGCCTCTGTGTTCACCCCGGTGCTGCGGTGCAGATTAACACCTCTGTGCTTTTTGGGACCACGAGGCTCAGAGCCTGAAATTGCCCTTCGGCCGTGAGGCAGGTAATGCCTCACATCTCTGCTGCCAGAGCTCTTTGGGAAAGATATTTCTCAGGCATCTCCTGACGCCCAGCACAGCTCCCTAAAGCCTGACCCAGTCTTTGCAGGCGATGGCAGGCGGCAGGCCACCCTGTGTGAGGCAAGGAGCACAAACATATGACTTAAAAAAAGGGTCTGGAGAGAGCTGGCTTTCCCTGAATAGCTCTCGGTGAGTCATTGAGCATGCAGAGGCAGCCAGTGCCAGCAGTGCTGCTCCTGGCTAGGAACGATAGATCAACAGGAGCCAGCCCTGATTGCTTTCTGATTCATGACCTGCCATCCCTGCGTGAATCACCGTGCCTTATAAACCTGCAGCTGTTCCCTGCCAGCTTTCTGGAACCAGACAGGTCCTCTCCTCCCAGCGGCAAAGCTGAGCCCCCTGAAAGGCCTGTACATGGCACTCGGTGGAGCAGGACCTGCAGTCTCGGGGGAATTTCAGGCTGTCCATCATCTGAGTGCAGGTACGGTCGCAGTTTGCGTCTGCCTGGTCCTCACCCAGAACAAGATGCAGCTTGGTCTGGGATTTATGAGCTCTCACATCAGAAGGAGGGGCAAGTTAACATCCCTCGCTAGGGCCCAGCACCTGCTGTATGGTGATCGTGGAAATACCCATGGTGGCTTTTTTTTGGCAGGGGACATACTTTAAGGAGAAGGGGGAAGGTTCCTGAAATCCTCTGGGCCAAGGGGCCAGCCCAAGGACAGTAAGCATTGTTACTGAACCAGGGTCAGTCTCAGCAAGCCTGTGGTGCGTCTCCTCTACGTACAGCCCTGATGTTCGAAGGGGTGGGCAAGAAGCCAGGCACAGCCCTTACAGTCTGTTACTGGAGGGCATCTCTGGGGTCTGGGCTGAGGTGCCTGGTTTGGGTTGTGCAGGTGTGTGTGGCTGCGGGAGCCTGCCTTGCTGCTGTCATTCCTGTTCTGTGGCTGAATGAAACCTCTGGGAGCTGTAAATCTGTCACCTCCCGTGAACATTGCGTTCACAGGGCGTCTTCTCATTAAGAATTTACAAGTCTGTTCAGTGCATACGGTACCACCAGCATCCATCCCTCCCCACTGCCCCAGGCCTTTTTCTGCTGCAACACGGTAATTAATCTGAGGGTTGCTGAGGTTCTGATCTCTTCTGAAGATAACTCTGAAGAGTTATTCTCCTTGATATATGCCACCATCTCAGAGCTGCTCCCTTTGCCAGTGAAACAAGCTTCTGCTGCCAACTGTTGTTGCCAGATGTTATTCTAGAGAAAAATGTTTTCTTGTGAACTTACGATGGGGGACAGGCATGGGTGGGACTGCTGGCGTCTTCTCACCCTTGCCTTCCCTGTTAGCTTCATTTATTAGTTTCTAAAGCACAGGCCTGGCTGCAGTTTTTCAGGTGGGCTGATGTGAAGCAAAAAACAAAATGCAATTATGCTGCAAAATGGGCAGCAGCTGTTCCCAGCCTTGGTTCACCTGGCTCTAAAGCAGTTAACAATGCATCAGCAAAGATAATATTGACTGACTGACCCAACCTGATGGCCGCTTGACGTGCAGCCTGGCTGTGTGTACCCATTGCTCGCTTTCTTTGCTGTCGGGAGTTTTGCAATGGGCTTGCCAAGGTGATGAGCGTCTGTGCTCCACGCCTGGGTGCAGCTGCAGCGGGTCCCTGGAGGATGCTCGCATCACTTGTGGGAAGAAGTTCTGTCATCTAAGCGAGCATGAACTCCATGCCTCTGGAAAAGGGGAGAGGCTGTGTGCCTGCCTTCTGGGGAAACTGCTGCTTTAGGAAAGCACTGTGCTCTGAGATGGGTACAAGGTGTTCGCATTATTTCCCCGCTGGCTGGTAGGGGAGCGAAGGGATGGTTTCTTAACTGAATGCAGGACAGGGGTGTGGATTTGGCTGCACTTCTGCAAACCGTCACTGCCAGCAGTGATGCTCTGGGCACTGCCTTTGTCCTGTCTGCCTGGTCAGGCAGCGGCCAAGAATTTTTTTTTTGAGAGGTTCAGACCTTCTAGTATCAATGGGAGGCAGCAGAGTGACATGGAGCTGCACTTAGCTGCAGACTTACTTCTGAGAAACCTGCAGGAGTGTGTAGGAGATCTGTAACACTGCACTGGGATCTGTAACACTGCACTGGGACTGACCCACAACAAACTCCTGTTAGTTATGTATCTGCAATGGTGTTTTATGCTGTCACATTCTCTGAAGCCAGTGGTTGTGTTTCTTCCTCTCAGTAGCTGGGACAGCTGCCCTGGGAGACAGCTGGCCAGGGAGAAGGGCCGTGAGAAATAAGCAGAGTGAAGAAGAGAATTAATTACTCCAGCATATTGCTGGGGTTCAAAAAGGACAGGGCGTTTGAGGGGATAACAAGTACATTCCCAGTTACAGTTGTAAAGATTAAAAATACCCCAGCCTTAGAGAGGGATCTATTTAAGGCAATTGTAACCAATGCCAGTGAGGAAAGAGTATTCTTTGGAGGCAGATTATTCCGTAAATGTCAAGCACAGAGGTTTCTGTCGCTGCTTTCAGAAGCAGCAGTTACAGGCTGCAGTCAGGAGCTAGCTACTGCAATTTTCTGGATAACAGGTCTGGGATTTCATTTGTTTCAGTTCAAATGGGAAGAAGTGAACATGAACTGTACTGAAGTTTCCTCACCGTAACGTTGATCACAGTTCATGGTTTTGGCTTGACCACTCGCACAGCAGTAGGTCTGATCCCTCCACTGCAAGTATTGATCTAAAGGAAAATGAGTCTCCAGAAGTCACAGCGGGATGGGGAGAGAAGAGGAGGATGAAGGCAGGACAGGAAGGCCCCATGCTGGTACAGTCTGCCTCCCGTTCACGCTGTGCGCGGTCTCGTGCTGTGTAGGTCACCTCAATGGGTGCAAGAGCTCTTGATCTAAGCAAGCACTCCTGGTATCCCGGAGGTCAACTGAGTGGCTTGCTCACTGGCTTACTTCAGCAAAAGGTGATAAGTGTGAGTTCTTGCAGGAGGAGAGCAGTAAGGCTGGCCTTTTGGGAGAAGGGGTGTGATGGCTGACTAAATCAAGCTTTTCTGATTTTTTTTTTTTTCAGGAACTTGCTGAGCCTTAAAGATGCGCGAGTATACAGAAAAGAAGGAAACATGTGGGACCATCTGTCTCAAGTACCTGCTCTTCATCTTCAACTTTTTTTTCTGGGTAAGAAGCTTCAGTCTGTTTCAGAGGCACTGAGATGGCACTGCCGTTTTGGTGTCAGGGGCACAGAAATCTTGGGCTTGATGAAGTCTTTAGGAAAAAGCGCTGACATCAGTAGGACACAGATTTCATCCTGTGGGGTGAAATCCCATCCCTTGGGCTTGCCTGCCCAGGCTGCAGAAGTTTGACACTGTAGTATCTGGCTGTTTCTAGGTCGTGTTATGAAGTACAGAAAATAACAGGGAGCCTGAAAACATGATGTGTCTCTGCTTTGTTTTTTCACCTGGCTTGCTTTTCCAGGGAGCCTGAGGACCCCACTGTCTTGTCTTGCCACTCCTCCTCTCAGAATGGCAGAGGGAGTCCTGGCAGTGGGTTGTGACAGCTAGATAACAAACACCTTTTTGCAGATGGGTTCACCGTAGAGCTTCCTAGAGTCATGCTTTCCACCAGAAAGTTACTGATGCCAAAGGATTGTTTTTTCCTTTGCTGCTTGGGACAGAGCATTGGAGTGTCCAGGTCATACCTGTAAGGAAAACTGTCTGAGCTTACCAGAAGGTGCATAAAACCCTCCAGAAACACAAGGCTTGCAAAGAGAGAAGGGACTGCTGGGAGTCTGGTTGGCTTTTCCATGTTCATTTGCTGTAAGGGTTAGAGTTTAACCAGCCAGGCTGTTAGCCAGGCTCTGTTTAGCTCCTTAGCTGCTTTCTCTCCAGATGTATAGTATAGGAAGGAGATATTGGGCATGGTTGTCATTTACTGGTAGTCTTGCTGCCTGACAGATAGTTGAAAGCTTGCTGATCTAGAGCTGTTTTTTTCCCCTCTGCTGCCAGGTAGCACCCCAATAGATTTGACTTTTTTTTTTAATTTGCCTAGATAACAGTGTGGCTACGTTTGGGAAGGCTCTGGTCCAAGTATGAATTGCTGTGCATAGGTAGATGCTCCAGAGAGCTTGGGTCTCGGGCTGGCTGGGGTGCAAAACCAGCCACCTTGGAGCCCAGCCCCTCCCAGTGCACTGGGTCCTGCTCCTGGTCCCAGGGACATCTCTGGGAGTCCTTGCTTTAGTATAGATCATCTTTGGCTCAGCTTATGGAGCTGAGGCACATCCTCATCTCCCAGTACAGTTCCTCTGGGAGGTGAGGAAGTTTGTGCATCAGATGCCTCTCATTTGCGTGCTTCTCTCTCTACCCAGCTGGCTGGTGGGGCCGTGATGGCAGTGGGCGCCTGGACCCTAGCTGAGAAGAGTGACTACATCAGCCTGCTCTCCTCCAGCACGTATTCAGCAACGGCTTATATTCTGGTGGTGGCTGGGGTGGTTGTCATGGTTACTGGGATCCTTGGTTGCTGTGCCACCTTCAAAGAACGTCGGAATTTGCTAAGAGTGGTAAGTTTTGCTTGGTTGTTTTGTTTGGAGGAAGATTCACCCCATTTTATCTTTAACCGTACTGGCAGGGAGGGAAGCACCGTGGTGGTGTTCTGCACCAACCTTATTTGTTTGTCCTACAGCAGATACCACTAAGGACTCCAGCTCCTAACAGCAGTTCTGTCCTTGTCCTGGGGGGCACGTTCTACTGTAGAACATTTCCTTCTGTCCACCCAAAGAACATGCTTACCACTGCATGGTTCAAAAGTACAAAGTATAATTGTAATACCTAGACTTTGTGTAAGAACGTCTGTTTGAAACTATTCAAAACAAAATCTCATGGCTTTTTTCTCTTCCTTCTTCCCTACCCATCCCATATTCTCTTTCGGAAAATGTGAAGAGAGAGGAAGTTATGAGAGACCTGTAACAAAACTGGCTTTAATGACACTAAGTTCAAGGCAAATTAACACGCTTTATCGCTTTCTTGTAAAAAATCGTAACATTTCCAATGAATGGTTTCTTTAGTTGCAAAAAAAAAGTTTTAATTTTGCTTCCACAAAAGAAGCCACAGTGTTTTGATAATCTGCTCCTTCTTTTACACCATTCCCTGTGTTACTTCTGAGCTCAGCCATCTACGCTGAAGTTTTTGACCATCCCTAAGGTTTCTGTTCAGCTTCCTCCATCTCAAATCTTGCTTTCGGTCTGGAGTGTGGCAGCAGTCCCTGGATCTGGGCTACAGTGGCGAGTGCAGTGACTGAAGTAACAATCAGTGGGTCTTTGATTTCACAGTCACAGAAAAGGATTCTTCAGCAACTTCACCAGCTCCTTCCTTTGCAAATCCTTTGCAGATTCCCCTGACTGTCCCATTTCCCCTGTGTTGTTTGGATAGAGGAGCAGAAATAGGAGTCAGGAGCAAGCCTGATGCTTGTGCCACTGCTTTGAAGGGCTGGGAATCCCTGTGAGAGGCAGAGGAGGGCCAGGAAGGGAGGATGTAACCCAGGAGACACTGTGTGTACATTGCTGGTGCTTGTTCATTAGGCTCCTGGTCTGTGGCAGTCCGTTTTGGCCTTGCTTCACTTACTTCCCATGCCAGAGAGATCTCCTGTTGTCTTTTTTGCCTCAGCCAGAAGCTTCAGATGAAAATCCGGTGGGGTTCTCTTTGTTACCCTGCCACAGAAAACTAATAATTGTCTCTTGAGAACAAAAGGTCGCTCTGTGTCCTAACACCACGCGTCCCTTTGGAGTGGCTGGTCGTGACAGGCCTATTGTCTCTTCTCACTTGTGCTGCGCTCTGGTTGTGGGTGAGTAATCCACACAAGAGAGAGGGCTGTGCTTGCCAGGGCTGGGTGAGCCTGGCTGGGGGCCTTTGCCAGCTCTGAGCTCAGGCAGGAATCCTGACAGCTCCACCGTCAGCGCCCTGGGGCTGTGCCAGCCTGTCCCAGTTTCTCTCTGTACCAGAGACCTATGTAAATATGGAGGGAGCGCTGTAAGCGGCGCTCTCCGCTCTCTCCAGTGCCTCCTTGGTGCTTTTAAAAATCAGTTATTGACAGCTTTGGATGCTGCTTATAGAATGTGTCTCTGGTTTTTCTGTTGAAGACTCAGGAAGCTGTGACATTTTCTGCTGCCTTTCTATCTAGCTGTGAGTTTATGGGCCCACTTCAGGGCTCTTCATAGTATTTCATTGCTCATCACTCACAGCTGTGCTATATTTTATGTCGGTGCTTTTTTGCCTTCCCTGTGTCCCTCCTTAGCCGGGTGATGTGCTGAGGCTTGGGCAGCAGATGGGGAGTTTCTCTGGCGCTGTGAGCAGGCGTGGCAGTGGATCTGCAGCCTGGCTGGCCACGGTGCTGCTGTCCAGCTCTTCACAAGTCCACGGGCTACTACAATATTGACGAGACTAATGCTTTCCTACACAAAAGTATGCAGTCAGGAGTCTCAGGAAAGGACACATCCCATAGAAGACCTTGCATATAAAGAAAGAAAGTGGCTTTCTTCAGGCTTGGCCCCGACACTGCCGTGTCTGGTTATCTACCTTGGATAGGGAGAAGGGAGCGCATTGGTTATGATTTCTGTTCCTGCTGCATTTCAGCTTGGAGCCCTCCCACTAAAGTGAGATTGCTGATTTAGGAGTACAGTTGCTATGTTTCTCTTCTTCATGTAGTGGAAAGATCTCTCCAGAGAGCGATTTGGATTGTAGGTGGGTTGAACCTTTCTTTGGGTTATTCAGAGAAAACACACAAAAGCTTCACTCAAAAACTTGAAGCTGGGTGGAAGAAATCTGGGCCCTGTAAGTCTTGAGAAGATGCCAGGTGGCCCCGGCTCGGGCTTGGAGCCAGAGCAAGAGTAAATTGTGCCCCGAGCCCACCCAAGTCCAGGCATGTGTCTGCTACAGGCCTTTGGGTGATCCCACATTTCTGACTTGTTTCACAGCCTCTTGGGAAGCAAGTTGGGCATGTCCCCGCAGCTCTGTGCTGGAGCTGGCCTGCTCCTCGCAGAGCAGCCCTGGGTAAGGAAGCCCTGCAGTTCCTCGTGGCGAGCAAGGAGAGCAGCCATGTGCTCTGTGTGTGTCCAGAGTGAAAGCTGCTGCATGCCAGTTTCGGCATACTTGGAGGTGGCCCTGAGGGAACAACAAGACTGAGATAAGAGTAGTGATACAGTGCATCAGCAGAGACAGGTTGGATGTGTGGGTGGCAGATGCAATAACCTCCCTTACGAGGTTTTACAAGGGCCTTGTGGCTCTGATTTTTCAAGGTCTGCTGGTTCCATGTTTGTTTCTATCCAACGTAAGCCAGCACAATGAGCCAAGCCGTGGTGACACAACTTGGCTCTACCTGAATGCCTCTGACATGACGACACAGCAGGGAAAAAGAAATAAACTTCCCAGCTCATTGGTGGTTGTCATCATCCTGCCACCCTCCAGCCCCCTCCTTGGAGAGAGATGATGTCAGAACAGTTAGGACATAACTAAGTCCCAACAAAAGAAAGCCAGCCCTTGTGTCAAGGCATGCCAGTCCTTTCTTGCCCCCTCTCAACCTCCTGGGAGTGCTGAGACCAGCCTTTAGCTATCCCACACTCTTCTGGGTGACTCATTCTCCTGGAATGAATGGGTACCTTGTACAGGCGTCTGTAGAGATGGTCAGTGTTGGGCCGCCTGGGGATGGTGTGGGGCTGGGCAGTGAAAGCCTGAGATTGTGTGCTCAGATTAAAGCTTGGTCTGCAGATAAAACCCAGCTGTCCATCCTTCACAGCTGCTGAATCGCAGCAGGGGTGAAAGAGGAAGCCTCAGTGTTTGTCTGTGTCACTTTTCTCCTGCAAAGGGGCTTGGAAGTACCTAGCGAAGGAGGGCGCACGGTGGGAGTGTGACCCTCGAGCAAGGGTTACAGAAAATGGGAGATATCTTGTTTGTTTTGTCCTGGGAAGGCCAGCTCTTGGCCCGAGGTCCTTGTTATGGCTGGAACTGGTGTCTCTTTAGCTTTATCTACCAAAAGATTATTTTAGTAGTCTGGATCTGTAAAGAAACTCTCATTGCTACCCAGGAGCAAGGCAGGGGCTGTGTGTCAGTACAGGGGTTCTCCCTCAAAAGCTCTCTTTGACCCTAAGGAGGGAGGGGCTGCGTCACCCTCTGTCTTCAGACCTTCCCAGTCCTTTTAATCTAGTATACATGTTCCTCCTCATAGGTTTGGCTTCCCTTGCTGTTTGTGTAGAAGAACAGTGCTCCCAAAGAGTTTTCTGTACTGTCCATTTGATTCTCTGTGTGGTAAGCAGGGCACATCCCTTTCCATTTCACTGCCATTGAGCCCTTTGAAGAAATAGTCATGTCCTCCTCTTAGCCTTCTAAGAGCTCTTCTCACTTTGGTTTCAAGATATTGAACTTTTCCGTCTAGATCCTAATTCAGCAGCACAGTCCTGGGTGTGAATCAGTACTAAAGTCCATCTGCTTCAGTAGTGCCCTTCAGCCTGTGGTTGAGCCCCACAGAAGTCACTGGAAACATAAATCTGTGGTTTAAGCTTATGCTTAGGTGGTCTGCTATATCCTTGGTGAACCGGGCCCTTTGTTGCTTTATTGAATCATCCTTATAACATACATTGCTCCTTAGTAACTTGGTGAAATGCCTTAAACAATATCAAAACAAACAAAAGTTTTCAATTTTTTTGTATGGCAGAATCAGATGTTTTCTGTAATATTGAGTGTAGTCACCAGGTTATCGAGGAACCGCTTTCCTTTGCCCAGTAATCTTATATAATATTGAGTGTAGTCACCAGGTTATCCAGCAACCGCTTTCCTTTGCCCAGTAATCTTATCTCAGCTGCCTGCACTTCTCCATTCTCTACATCCCTCTGGCTCTGTGAGTTAAACTCACACTTGCTGCTGCTTGTCTTCAGTTATCCTGTGGTTTGGGGTTTGGTTTTTTTTTTTTTTTAATCTCTGGGATTGTTCCTTTCCTACCCTACAGAGGTCTTAATCCCAGCCCCTGCCTTTGAACACTGCTGCAGAGAAGCATTGATGCAGACATCACCAGCTAATGGAAAGCTGTCTCCTGGCATCTCTTTCCATTCTGTTCTAATGTCCTGCTATTCCCATTATTTTACAGTACTTCATATTGTTGCTGTGCATCTTTCTCCTGGAGATCATTGCTGGAATCCTGGCCTATATCTACTACCAGCAGGTGAGTGGACATGAGTCCTTAGACACTCAAACCAGGGAAAGAAAACAGCTGCTTATCCCATTTCTCCAGCTGGAATTGGGGCTTGGGACCTGGGGTCTGGTTGTGGTTCACCTTTCCCCATGTCTGTACTCACTCCCCTCCCCATAACGGGAGACCTTGGATTATTTACTATTCTCGACAAAGTGGTGGTGGTTACTCCAGGGAGGCTGCTCAGCTCGTTCCTGTGGTTCACCTTTGTGCACTATTTTTCTGAAGAACCTTTTAGAAGACAATTTTTGCGGCTGTGTAGATCTAGGAACTCTCCTAATGCCCTTCAAGCCATAGTGCAAGCAACTGAAATCACATTAGCAGCACTTAGTGTATTCAGGACATAGGAACAGTTCCTGCTGCACCCAGCAAGTGAGCTGCCAGACTTCTGAACTGGCAAAGATAACGAATGGTCCAGCTGAGAGGTCCTTTCAGGTCAAGCAGTTTTTGAGAGCTTTACTTAACCAGCCCAGCCGAGGGGCTGGAGATCAGCGCAGGCTCCCAACAGCTGCGGTTGTAGCTTGGCACTTCTGCAGTTGCAGAGAGCAGAGCCTTAAGTCAGGACTTAGTTTTCAAAGGGAGTCGAGCCACCGAGGCACAAAGAGCCTGGGAAGTTGCTCTCATGCCTGGAAATTGTTTGGAAATGGCAAATTATGATGCTGTCAATTGGCTGTCTGAAAAGCAGCTGCCAGGATTCCCTGCCATTCCTTTTTCTCCTGAGCCTTCTGTGCTCTGCCTCACTCAGATGGGCACTGGCCGTTTGTGAGGAGCCAGAGAACGGTGCTAGCTCCTACCAGGAGGGAGCTGTGGCATGAGTGTGCATATTTAACAGGGAAAGATCAATCCTGGCAGGCAAGGGAAGAAGCCAAGGGCTGTCCATCCATCCCTGCAGAGGCACAAGGTTTATACATGACAGTGGATGAAGAGGGGCTGATCCTTAGGTTGAAATAAGGGACAGCATACTTGGAGCTGTACCCTTGAGTGCTTTAGACCGCTTGACCGCATCTCTTACCACTAGCTGCACTTCCCATTGCCCTCTGGCTGACAACTCCCCCTTCCTTTTTGGTTGCAGGCTGCTTGTGCTGTTTGCTCCTGCTTTTATTTCAGCCCTTTTATTGGTGTCTAAGGCTTGCATGTCCATGTCTAAACTGTTTCTTTTGTTATCTCTATTCCATGCTGCAATACTTCCCCGTGAACCCGCAGGTAACTGCTTTTCTCCCAGGTAATCATTCTGCTAATGGACTCTCCGCTTTATTTGCCTCTGATGACTTCCAGCTGCTGAACTTTTCCTTTCTTTTTAATGCTCTAAGTCCTTTGCACTTCTGTAGTACTTCCCAGCCCAGGATCTCAAAGCATTTTGCAAATATTAATGAATGAAGCCTCTTATCTGTGTGAGGTAAGTGTTCTCCCCATTTGACACATGGGGTTGGAAAGAAGTGTTTCAAAGGGAGAATAAACTGCAGAGTGTATTTTGCGCAGTTCAGCACAACCAGGTGCTTGACCTCTCATTTACTACTTACTGGGGCGAATAAAAGGTGTATAGAGAGGCTACCCACCTGTTTCTCTCGTTGACCCCATCTAAAATATATGTTGATGTTGTTTATTGGTATAGGAAGCTTAGAATTTCACAGCTATATCCTTGATGAAAGGATGGCAAAAAAAGGATGCAGCTCTTTGGCACTTCTTGGCTGTTGCCTGGATTGGTGAGAAGAATTTGGCTGGATGAAAAGTGCCTTCACAGGAATAAGTGTTTTTAATCCCATCACCAGTGATTTATGATGCTCTCAGAAATTCTGTACTTCCAAAATCAGACTTCGCCTCTCTGTCACTGTTATTCAAGAAATGTCTTGCAGTACTTCTGCCATCGCACGCTTAATTCCCTCCTATGCCCTCCTTTTTGATGCTGATACAAGAGCTATTCAGACTATGTGGCTTCAGTCCAGCACGCCCAGGACTCTTGATTTCTTCCTGCTCCTGGACAGCGTGATTTGTTTTTTACTAGTTTGTCACAGGCTTCAGAGGGAGAAGACTACATGTGGTCTCATAGGCTTATTCATATCTAAACAGGCACAGTTTTGTGTTCTCTTTTGATGCAGACATGTCCTGGCAATCTTGCATATTCATGGTGAGGATCCATATGGTGACATGTAGAACAGGCTGAAATTTGGTCCTGAAGCACCTCCTTCTATTTATTAAAATGGAGGTGTGATATGTAACCAATTTGAAATCAGCCAGTCCAGTCCCAGCTTTGGAGGATCATCTCAAAGGAAGCTGTAGCTCCTGCTCTGCTTTTCTCTCGGAGCAAAGGCAATGCAACGTACGCAGGGCTCTGGGTTGCTCCGAGGGGTGAGTTTGACTCGTGATTTGATCCCACTTGTCTCTCCCATTCAGCTGAGCATGGAACTGAAACAAAATTTGAAGAACACCATGACCCAGAAGTACCGGAAGGAGGGAGAAGAGAGCGTTACCAGCGCAGTAGACAAACTGCAGCAGGAGGTGGGTATCTCTAGAGGCGGGGAGAATTAATGCCACTGCAGGGCTTAAGATCAAATGCACAAAAGGCATTGTGGGCTCTTGACATTCAGCATACAGATGTTTCTTCTGAACGCTGAGGGTATGTTGTGCTGCTTCTGATTCAAGACAAGGCTGGGCAGGGTGCGGTGCATAGCCTGGGCTGTGCAACTGGCAGAGGTGCATGATGTGATCTCTGATTGCATGCCCAGTAGCACTGGGTAAACATCGGAATTGCTCCCAGAGTGAACTGGAGCTGCCAAGTCCCTCTGACAGCTGGTTGTACTTACCACTTCAAAGCTTTGGAGAAATCACTGGCATTTTTCATTAAGCTCCTCAGTGCCCTAGAGAGCCAGATGTGATGAACGCAGAGCCTTCCTGCTGCTGTTGCCAGCTGTGCCTGGCTTGGGGCGGTTCAGGTTAGGGCTGCCGCCGTTCTGACGGGCTTTCCCACCGAAAGAACCTCTGGGCAGGCACTTTCGAAGCATGGGGCCTGCTATACACATACTGCCTTAGCAGGTGCGTTTCCAGTAGTCACTGGTTGTTAAACTTACTGTCTTAGCACCACTAACACTCCAGTTGAGTGGCTAGGAGCTGAGGCAGCTGCAGATGCGCTCTGGTTACAGTTCATCCTAGCAGTAACCAAAAGTCACAGCTGCTGGAAGATGAATGAAGCTGATACTTAATGGCCATTTTGGGGACTCTGAACACAAGACTCACTAAAAATTACAGTAGCCTAAAAAAAAAAAAAAGAAACCCGTGAAGTAGCTGGAGTCTCTGTGCAAAGGAGGGTGAAGCCCAGGGCTCGGTGTGGGAGGCTGGAGGGAGAAGGAGGTTGCAGCGCTCGCAGGCTCAGCCTTTGCTCTGTGTGCGTGCAGTTCAAGTGCTGCGGGAGCAACAACTACACGGACTGGGCTGACAGCCTGTGGATCAAATCACCAGAGGCCAATGGACGGAAAGTCCCAGACAGCTGCTGTAAGACGATAACTGACCTGTGTGGCCGCCGAGACCATCCTTCTAACATCTACAAGGAGGTAAAGAGCCAGAGGGCTTCAGGGCCACCTGCCACAGTGTGTACCGCAGCTGGTCAGGGAGGGAGGCTGGTGGGTTGATGCTGCAAACTGTCGGTAGGTTTCAAAGTCAGTAGGATTCCTTAGAAAGCAGAATTTGTTTATCTAGTTGAGCTCTCAGCCATCTAGGCTATTATTTTATATGTAGATATAGTGAAAAATAGTAAATTATATTTGTTACTCCAGAGTGTGCTAGCGATTGGGGGAAGTGGGAGAGGTTGTTAGTTCTGGAAAGGGACTTGGATGCAAGCCCTGCATTTGACTCAGCTGTTGCTGGAATTACTCAGTGAGATGCAAATGGAGATACTTCTGGTCCTTGACTGAGACAGTGGGATTTGACCTACAGCAGGAAGAAATAGCACATGGGGAAGAAAGATGGGCCTGGAGCAGGCAAATTAGGCCAGTGCCAGAAAAGAATGATGGAATTGAGATAGAGGGGCTTGTCTTGTCTCTAGAAGAAGCAAATTGAATGGCTGACTAGCTAAGTAAGTAAACAGGTAGCTTTCAGACCATCTACTCACCCTGTTAAAGCTGGTAAAAGTTCTTGCATTTATTTTGGCACTCTCCAGTCCTGCCCCTGGCTTTAACTTGCTTGCTGTGATGGTCTTTATGGGGTAGCAGAGTCCTTTTTCTGGCTTCAGTCCTTGGCTGGACATACAGAGCCTGGGGAGCAGCAACTGGATCTTTTTGCTTGTTCCTGTCCCCTGAGAGTTAAGGAGGGCTGTGGATGAAGATGTGGCTCCTTCAAAGCAGGTATTTCTTCTCGCAGTCTGTTCTTTGAGCAGGACTCGGAAGAGGAGTGTGAATAACTTCTGCCATTAAGCCAGGCAACTCAAACAGCTAAAAGGAAACCAAACATCTGTCTTTGGGGAATGAACAGGGAGAGGGAAGTCCAGTCTTTCTGATCTAGCAAAACCCCACTGATGTCTAGCTGCTTGGCTGGGATTTGCTCTTTAGGAAGAAGGCTTTCCCATAAGGTTTATGCCTTCCAGGCAAGTCCCAGCAAGGATGTACAGAAGAGAGTCGAAGGGCTGGTGAGGTGTTTCTGAGAGTGGAAACCCGCAGCCGCTGGAGAAGCAGGGCTGGCGATTCCCAGCCTCTCTGCTGCGTGAAGCTGGAGGTGGCTGCCCAGCTGCATTCAGAGAGGCCCTGTATGCTGCCAGATGTATTGGGCTAGCTCTAGAGGAGAAAAAGATGTAAGGGGAGGTTTGGATCTACAGCCAGATGCTGCATGTCATTGTATGAGGTCTCAGTCAGAGTTCAGAAAGGGTTTTAGTGGCTTTGGGGAAGAAAAACATAGAAAAGGGTCAGATCAGGCAACTAGAGTAACGGCTTCCTATCAGGGCAGCTGGGGCTGACTCTAAAACCTAATGTTGGCATGGGAAAAGTGAGGCCTTTGCCATCACTCCCTGGAGGGCTGCGTGCTTGTAGATGTCTGTGTTCACTATAAGCTCCTGGGGCAGGAGGGCCCCCAGGACCTTTGGGGCACTGCTGGAGCCTACACAATAAATCCCCCTGATGTCACCATGGAAAACCTGCCTCAGTACATTAAACAGTTCAATTATTTAAAGAGAACTCTTCCAAAAAAAAAAAAAAACCCCAGAATGGTTTTAGTGATTTATTTTAGCCTTATGACAACAAAAACTTGGTCTGGAAAGGGGAAGGGAGAGGTCATGCTGCCAGCCGAGGATGCAGGGGCTGGCAGAGCCAGGCATCTCCAGGCCACCCTGAAACTCATTGTCATAAGTAGCAGTGGGAGGAATTTACTCTTAAAAGGCTCCGTATGTGTTAGGCAGTGAGCAAGGGAACCTTTCTCCACGTATCTCGGAGGAAATGATAAACTCCCTGTGTGTGATGTGGCTGGTTCTGGTGCATTTCTCCTGTCCAGCTAGCAGCTGTGTTGGATTTGTTTGACAGTTCCTGAACCAGTAGGTCCAGAACAATACAAAACATGATGCAGTTTACACCATCCGTGTAGCTGCTCCAGTGGTGCTGGGGGAAGAGGTTGCTCACAGACACGGCTTTTTATAGCCTTGCTTTCAAGGGTCTGTTGGATTAAAGTGAACAAGGGGTTAAAGTGAAGCTGATATTCCATGTCCCTCCTTTCACCCTGCAGAGCGGTTGCATTACCAAGCTGGAAAACTTCATTCAAGAGCATCTGAAAATTATTGGAGCAGTGGGGATCAGCATTGCTTGCGTGCAGGTAAAAGGGGGCTGCATGGAGTTCTGGGGATGCTGGGCAGAAGTTCAAAGAACCCTAGAGCTGAGGGATGGAAAAAATCAGATGTTTTAGGCTCTTCCCTTCCTGGCAAGGAGAAGTTGCCAGGTACTTCGGGGGCTTGAGGATTCACTAGCTCCGAAACAAAAGCCTCTTCTGCAGGTCTGTGAAATTTGCTTCTGGTGAAAAAAGTGCAACCAGCTGGGCAAGGGGTCGAGCCTTCTGCTGCAGGGCTGTGGGAAGGGCATGGCCAGGCGGTTTGCAGCCTGAGAGAGACCTCTTGTGGGATGTGCTGTGGTTGCCTCTGCTGCTGCAGAGCCGGTCTGGAGGAGTTTCCTACCCTGGTTTGTTAGGATTAAGTCATCTGGAGTTTCTCCCTCAGCTGTGTCATGTTGAGGAACTGCAGTCTGCAAATGATTTGGGAGAGGGTGATGAATAAAGGGGTAGGATATGGATGCCCCCCATTCCCATTTTAGAGGGGAGGGCACAGGATGTTCTTTTCGTCCAGATACAGATGCCCTTGGGAGTTCCTCATCTTCCGCTTTGTCCTGGCAAATAGCCAAATCACATCCCAGAGAAACTGCTGGTGGTTCATTGTGAGGATTAGCACAGATTATGTTCCCTCTGGCTGCTTATTGCAAGATGGAGTGCAGTATCCCCAGGCAGGAGCTAGCGCCGCTCCAGTCTGCATCCAGGCTGTTAGTTTGCAAGCTGCTGCCTCCACTGCATCCGTTCTGGTTTTTCATGCATTTCTCTCTTCTCTTTACACCCTGTAGATCTTCGGGATGATTTTCACCTGCTGCTTGTACAGGAGTTTAAAGCCGGAACCATATTAATAGCTGCAGGAACTCTGTTGCTCCCCCTCTGCCACTTCCCTTAGTGCCTGCCAACCTGCCCACTCTCCAGCACCGCCACAGAAGTGTCTGTAACCTGAGGACTCGGCTCTGTAGTTAAATGCCTCTCAAACCACACACCGCCTTACCTGCACCCCTGGGGGAAGGTCACCTTCCTTGTTGTGTACAAGGCAGCCAGGAGTTCAGCGGGACCTCTTCATTGTCAAGAAACAAGAGAGCTGCAGGTCTTCTGCTGGAGGCTTTAGCAAAACGGTCCTATGATAGAACTACAAAGCAAGATTTCTCCAGGGCTGTTTCTCTTGAGGCTTTTCAGGAGCCAACATGAAGGTATCAGGATCCTCTACAAGAACCATGGTTTGCTCTCTGAGAAGTGGCTCAGCAGCCCCTGGCGTTGACTGTGAGGACAGATGATGTTTCTGCACTGAGCTGGAGCCAGAGCCGAGTCTCTCCCACGTGGAAGATTTCTCTCCCTCCCCCTGCGTGTGCACTGATGTCCTAACACAGCCGTTCTCTGCCCGAAAGGATGCCTGCCTGGCTGCTTGGGGCAGGAGCTGCTCCCCTGCTGATCAGGAGCACACCTTGGTGCAGCTGAAATCTCGTCGTGACTCTGATGTTGCCAAGACATGGGTGCCTTAGTATTTTTCAGCACTCCTTCCCCCTCTTCCTCGAAGCCTCCCCCAACGCGGTGCCACTAGGAGCTGCAAGAGGCCTTTTGCCTCCCAGCGATTCTGGAGCAGATAGACTACTTTCTAATACTCTTGGGTCTAGTCTGTTTTGTTGAGTGGCTTCCAGTGCGAGTGAGAAAATTCCTCCTGCTTATCTGCCTGCTGAGGTTTGGTGAAGAGTTGTCTGGTTTTGGAGCTGGCATATCTTGCTACCCTTTGGCCTGTCCGGTTAGCGCAAACACCTTCTCACATCTCATATGTGAGAGATGCCCTCAGCTTGTTTTTTCTAATTAGAACCTCCAGGTTTGTTGGGCAGGAAATGAATATATATGAATGTTTTATCAGCCTCCAAAGAGTTCGTTAATCAGCTAAGGGTTTTCTGGCTTTAATGAGATCTGGAAGCCCACTGTACTGGTCATGGCTGAGAAGGTCAGGAGAGTCAGCTTCAACCAGTTTGCCCCAGTGTGCTTGGTAAATTGGTAGCAGTGGGTTAACTGGCTGTTTGCTGCAGAGGAATAGGTTTAACTGAATATGCTCTGCATTGGGATCCGGGATACGTAAGGGACGTAGACATCATTGCTGCTGTGGACTTGGTGCCGTAGCGATGCCAACAGGGTCTTTGCCCAAATTCATAGGATCTTGTGTGCCTCTTGTCTTGCTCTCACCTTCCTGCTATGCCTGTTATGCCTACAAAGCAGAAAGGGCTGTGGGGTTTTGGGGTTTCTGAGCAGTGAAGACAAACCCTTTCATAAACAAATGTATCCCCTCTCCTGGCCTTTCAGCGGTGACGGCTGAGCTCTGGTGCTTGGCAGCAGAGAGTTAACATGAGCAAACTCAACCAGACCCCTAAAGGGTCTTGCAGCATTGTGGGTTTTTTATTTCACAGAGAAGAAATCTTGGACTGGTGCTAAAGGGTGACAAGTTAAAATTCAGAGCAGGTCAATCTGAAATGCTTCCACGAACATCAGCCCCATGAAATAATCCTTAACTAATGTAGAAAGAGGGGTGGAGGAACTGAGGTGTATCCTTGGTTCCACAGCCGTAGGAAAGAGGGGAAAGAAATCTAAATTATTGTGTAATGATCTAAAGGAGAAATCTCTAAATTATTTCTTGTGTTATAATCAGGTTCCTGACAGGTATTGACTACTAACTAAGAGGAAAATATTGAGCATGTTGCTTGAAGCAATATTTCTAGTTTCTTAAGCATATCTTCATAGCTGCCTTTGCCCATTCCCTTCAGATACGTTGTACAGGGCTGGGAGAGGCTGGGAAGAATGAGAGATGAACAGTAGGTTCGCTTGTGTCCATTGTGTTGTTTTTATACTTTTTCTCTGTGTAATAATATTAATTGCTTTTTTTTTAACCCAGTTTAAGTTGCTGGCCAATAGAAAAAAATAAAGCTTAAGATTCTATACTTATTCTGTGTAAATTCTGCAAAACTGAAGGGGTACTGTGAGTTGGGTGGGTTGTATGGATTCCTCAGATCCTGGAGGAACTGCCAAAGAAGCTGGTCTGAGGGACCAGGCTGAGAAGGAAGCTGGGGAAGAACCTGCTTCCCATCACCGACCTTGCAGCCTGGCTGTGATCTGCTGCTGCGGGGTGCTGCAGGCTGCTCCTCTGCCTGCCACCCTGAGAGCTGAAGTCGCAGGACCTCCGGGTACCTGGCACTGCACGTCGGTCACGGTCTGTGTGTGGAGCTGCGTGCACCCAGCGCTGCTCCGGGGTCTGGGGTACACCCAGCTGCACGCGCTGCGGTGCTTGGGGACCTCCCTCAGCCTTGTCCCACAGGCTGTGCTTTCTCGCTGTGTGCCGATGAGTGTATGCTCTGTGTGCCCTGGAGTAGCTCGGAGCCGCCTTGCAGCACAGGCATGGCAAAAGGAGGAAACGGACGTGTGCCCCTTTTTATGACCCTTTGGGATTTTGAGAATCACACGTTACCATTTCAAATATTCCCAAATCCTGCCCGATGGCAGCAGCAGCCTGTGGCTGATGGCCCCGGCCGCGCAGTGGCTCTCGGGGCTCAGCACAGGGTGCTGGGAGGTCGGGTCCCGTAGCTCCAGTGAGTCTCATCCACGCTGCTTGGCTCTGTGGGCAGCAGGGCCACAGTGTCACCAAGCCGCGGGGAAGGGCTGTACAGGTCACGCCGGTGTTCCCTCGCCTGGGAGGGGAGGTCGCTCCTTCCAGCCCTGGCAGCATGGGTCCTGGCTGCGCAGGACTGAGGCTGGGGGGTCACTACAATTTGCTCAGGAATAAAAGGAAAAACAGACGCAGCAGCAAATAGTTTCTGCAAAGGTCTGGCTTTGGGGCAGTCCCCCTGTTCCCACACACAAGTATTTCATACTCCCCCCACAGGGCTGCTTCTAACTCCAAACCAGTTCCCAAGCATGCCCTTTCTGCTCCTGCCACTGAATTGGGAGGAATTTTCCCCCCAGGGAGGCCATGGTGTCCGTTTTGCAAAGCCTCCCTTGGGTGGTGGTTTCCATGTCCTTGTTTTCCTGCTGGGCTGGGGCTGAGCAGGGCTGGGAGGGGGGAGAGAGATGAGGAGCAGGCGGTGATCCTCTCCTCCCTGGCAAGACGGGACAAGCACGCTCTGCTTGGGCAGTGGAGAAGGAGAATGCTCTCTCCTTCCCAGCTGTGAAACCCCCCCACATTTCCCTGTGTGTGCACCCCTGAGCGGAGAGGCTGGGTGCCTGTGCTGCTCCTCATCACCACCAAGCAGCAACGAGCTGCTTTGAGCGCCGTTCTGGGCTGGCTCCCGTGCTCTTCGGGCTGCTGGCCACACTGCACCTTGTCTCCCCGGAGCTGCCTGCCGCTTCCCTGCACCAGAGTCCGGCTGGGAGGAGAGGTGGTGGCTGCGCTGGTGGCAGCACCCAGCTGGTCAAGGAGGCACGGGGACAGGATTCACGTGGTGCCTTCGGAAACGACAAATTCCTTGTGGGGAGGGCGCATGGTGCTCTCACTGAGCGATAATCACATGAACGGCGGGGATGCTGCTGCCCACTAAACTGGCTCCGAGATTCATTCCAGCACAGCGCATCACCAGGGGCTTTTGAAGTCCTCGTACTCTCTGCGAAGCAGGCTGCTCCTCCAGCTTTCTCTGCTGCCTGTGTTAGCAGAAAGGATGCTGTCTGGGCCGGGGCCATCAGGATGCACAGCTTTCTCCCTCCTGGTTGCTGCTCCTGCCTGCAGGCTGCGGCCCACTAAACTGGCTCCGAGATTCATTCCAGCACAGCGCATCACCAGGGGCTTTTGAAGTCCTCGTACTCTCTGCGAAGCAGGCTGCTCCTCCAGCTTTCTCTGCTGCCTGTGTTAGCAGAAAGGATGCTGTCTGGGCCGGGGCCATCAGGATGCACAGCTTTCTCCCTCCTGGTTGCTGCTCCTGCCTGCAGAAAAGGAGCTGCTGAGCATCAGGCATCTCCAGGCTTCGTTTTTGTGAGTAGCAAACTGTATGACAGCAGAAGAGCAGCGTCTGCCTGCACAGAGGGCAGAGAGAGCCCAGTGCCCCAGCACAGCCTGATCCTGCCACCAGCTGCTGTGTCCCCACGTGGGGACAGCAAACCCCAGCCCCCCCTTGCAGTCCCAGAGTGGCTCTGCTGGCTGCAGCACATGTGTCCGGCAGCACTGGGGTGAGTGTGGGGGGCACACCGAGCCTCTTGCAGCCCTGTGTAGTCGAGCCCAACCCAGACCCAGCGAGCAGGACATGTGGAGTGATGCTTCACAACTCTGACCATATGTGTGTGTACATATAGCTGTAGATCTCCTCCTGTGTATAGCTATAGATCTCCTCCTGCCGTGCTGGAGGATTTCCACTGCTGCAGGAGGAAGGTGAGGTTTCTATTTCTTATTTTACTCAGAAATGTTGGAACCCCTTCACCCCAGAAACCTGCCACCGTAGAAATGTGCTTGGTCCTTCCAGAGCCATGTTCTCCTCTCCCTGTCCAGGGGGGGATGTCCCCTCCCCAGGTTGGTCAGTTGCAGCCGGGGAGGCTCCTTCCCTACCCGCAGCCACAGTCTCAGCCTCCCCTCTTCCAAAGGGTTCCCCAGCCAGGATTAGACACCACACAGCAAAAGGCTTCTGGTTAAGCTCACAGTGCCCCATTCATGTGTGGCTGTGTGTCCTGCCTGCCGCTGGCTGTACGCAAACAGGCATCTCCCCAAGAGCATCCTTGGGGAAACACAGGGCAGCACCCAAAAGCTTTGTTGTGCAGGAGAAACTGAGGCACGTATTTCATCCCCACACATCCAGCAAGGATCCGACAGACGCTGGCGGAGCTGCGGCGTGGGGGGGTGCATGCTGA